AATCCAGGGGCTTGAACATGCTAGGCAAATGCTCTACCACTGAGTTACACCCCCAACCCACAAACAGGTTTTAAATAGGGAAGAGCTGCTATTTCTCCCACATTACCAACAAAGAGCATTTTCCTCACTTGTCATCCATTCTTCAGCCTCATGCTCTGTACGCAGGGAGAATTCATAGGGATGAATGCAATGTTAGAATAAAAGTGTTTAAACAGGTCCATTTATCTGCAGGCTTTCTGTTTTAGAATTGCTGACAGAGGAAAAGAGGAAGAGAATGGTTATCATCTCCCATCCTGGTTGTGGGGTTTGGTTAAAGGTCACACACAGGCTTGAGTTTCAAACATGACTCAAGAAACCAACAGGAGCAAGATTGTTTTGCCCCTGCTATAACTGTGTCACTGTTCTACAAAGATCACTACACACTACAGGCAGTTCCCAATTTATGAAAGGATTATGCTTCTAAATTTACTTAAAGTTTTTAAAACTGGCAACATACTTTTCTTCAAAGATATAATTGTTAAAATCGAAGCATAATATGTGTATAGTAAAGGCACTCATTTTAAGCATTTTATGAATTTTTACGTATGTATGCATGCATGTTTAACCAACCAAATCAAGGTACAACACCCAGAAATCTCCTTTATGTCCCTTCCCAGCCAATACTCATCTCAGAGAAATTTTATTCTCACTGATTAGATTTTTAAATAACTTTTTTAGTAATATATAATAGACATGACGGACATATGTAAAACACCCGAAGTGTACACATCTCAAGGGTAGCGAGCGTTCAATAACTATTTAAATATGTATACTTTCAGTTCGATCCCCAGCACCACTAAATAAATAAATAAATGAATAAATACACTCACAGCTATGGTTTGGTGTGGTTTTTCCTTGCAAAATTTGTGTACTGGAAGTTTGGTCCTCAGTGTGGCAGTGTTGAGGTGGCAGATCCTTTAAGAGGTGGGGCCTACAGCAAGGTGGTTGGGTTATGGGGCTTTGCTCTTAGAAAGGATTAATGCTAATCTCCACAAGTGATTTAGTTCTTGTAAGAATAGCTTGCTATAAAAAGAGTTCACCCCATGTGCTAAGTCTCTTTTCACATGGGTCTCACTTTCTACTTCTCTACTATGATGGGATGCTGCCAGAGGGGGTCTCATCAGGATCCCAGTACCATGCTGATGAACTTTCCAGCCACCAGAACCTTGAGCTAAATGAACCACTTTACTTATAAAGTTCCAGCCTCAGGTATTTTGTTATAGAAATACAAAATGGACTATTATTGGTGATACTACCATCTAGAGATGCACACAGAACACTTTCAAACTTCATGTCCCTTCCCAGTTTAGTCTTACTCTCCTAAAGTAGCCTCTATTCTGACAAATCACTTTAATTTTGTCTGCTTTGAAGCTTTACAAAAAAGGAACTGTGTAGAATGCACTCATCTGTTTTTTGTTCAGACAAAATATTGTCATATTTTAGAATTTGTCATTTACATATGTGTGTGTGTGTATATATATACACACACACACTATATATATATATATATATATATACACACACACACTATATATATATATATATATATATATATATATTTTTTTTTTTTTTGGTAGTACTGGAGATTGAACCCAGTGGTACTCTGAGTTACATCCCAAATTTATTTTCTTTTTTGAGACAGGGTCTTGTTAAGTGACTGAGGTTGGCATAGAACTTGCAATCCTCTTGCCTCAGCCTCTCAAGTAGCTGAGACTGCCAGCATGTACCATCATACCTAGCTGAGAGCAATAAATAGAGAATTTAAAAATGATTAGATGTATGGAAATTACCAGGGAGTGGAATTCATAGTGGTAGACATCTTTATTTTCTATTTTCCAAGTTTTTAGAGTCATTAGATTTTATTTAAAAAACTTGTTGTACATTTTTTTTTTCTTTCCAGTGCTGGGGATCAAATCCAGATCTTATGCATGCTAGGTAAACTCTCTATATCCCCCAGCCCAATACTAGTATAAACATTTTTGAGACAGCATCTTGCTATGTTGCCCAGGTTAGCCTGGAACTCCTGGGTTCAAGCAATCCTCCTACCTCAACTTCTCAGGTAGCTGGGATTATAGGTGCTTGCTACTGCACACAGGTCTATGTTATGTATCTTTTGAACTTTGGTGCATCTCAACATTAGGATCACTATACAAACTTTCTAGAAATGCACGTAACAATACTCACTTCATTATCCACCCTTAAGATCTCTGTTTTTTGTTTTTGGTACTGGGGATTGAACTCAGGGGCACTCAACCACTGAGCCACATCTCCAGCCCTATTTTATATTTGAATCAGAGACAGGGTTTCACTGAGTTGTTTAGCACCTTGCTTTTGCTGAGGCTGGCTTTGAACTCTCAATCCTCCTGCCTCAGCCTCCCAAGCTGCTGGGATTACAGCCATGTGCCACTTCACCTGGCTAAGATCTCCTTTTTTGTTTTCCTCTATTTTTTTCTTTTAATATTTTTTTGGTTGTCAATAGACCTCTATTTTATTTGTTTATATGTGGTGCTAAAGATTGAACCCAGGGCCTCACACATGCTAGGCTAGCATTCTACCATGAGCCACAATCCCAGCCCTAAGATCTCTGTTTTGTTGATTACTACATTTTCAATGCTAAAACAGCATCTGGGGCTGGGGTGTGGCTCAGTGGTAGTGCTTGCCCAGAGTGTGCAAGGCCCTGGCTTTGATCACCAACACCACAAAACAAAATAAAAATCACTAAAACAACTTCTGGCACAATGAAATATATGAACCATAACTGGGTGAGTGAAGAATACTATTTTCAAGTTTTAGATACACTGATATAGCCTCATATTGTTTCCATTTAAAATGCATGATAGAATTGGATAGAAGGGGAAAAAATGACAGGGAAGTATTTTTTCTTCTGAATCCCACAACTTATCAAAACGTGGCTATTATGGGTTCAACTGTGTCCCCTCAAAAAAAGGTATGCCGAAGTCTCTACTTCAGAGTGTGACTTTATTTGGAAATATAAACCCTTGGAGATGCAATCAGTTAAGATAAAGCCTCTAATCCAAAATAACTGATGTTCTTATAAAATGACAGCTATAAAGACAATGGGAGAAGACCACATGAGATTGGAGAGTTGGAGAGATGCATCTACCAGCCAAGTAAAAGACTGCCAGAGGCAAGAAAGGGCATGGAAGGATCACCTTGCAGGTTTTCGGGGGAGCATAGCTTTGTGTACACCTTGACCTCACTCAGACTTCTGGCCTGCAGAACTGAGACAACAAACTTCTGTTGTTTTAAGCCACTTAGTTTGTGGTACTTTGTTAAGTCCACCTTAGGAAACCAATAAAGTGGCCTTGACTTTGAATTTTGTAAATATTGGGGCATGGGGAAAAGACCAATCACCCAAATGTCATAGCCTGTGAGTTTTCAATGACTTTCCAGTTGTTTTTTTTTTTTCTGATTGGTGAAAATATTTTTAAGAACGTGTACAGTGAAAACAGGAATTCAAATAAAGCAAACAATAAAAGCACACAGAGTGTGGAGACTTCTCAGAAAACTTGGAATGGAACGACCATTTGACCCAATTATCTCACTACTCACTGTATACCCAATCTCTGTTATGCGGCTGCTACCGCACAGTAAGGGGTGATAGAGGGAAGAATAGAAGTTCATGGGATTACACAAAGGGGAACGAAGGGAAGGGAGAAAGGATGAGACTAGGTTAGACAGTAGAATGAATCAGACATAATTTTCCTGTGTTCATGTATGAATACACGACCAAGGTAACCCCACATTATGTATGACCACAAGAATGCAAAGTTATACTCCATATATGTGACATGTTAAAGTACACTCTACTGTCACTTATTCTCAAAAAAGAACAAATACAAAATAAAGAACACAAAAATATAACAGGTAATTGAAATTTTAATATACCTAGTTATTAATGTAAAAATTTTTAAAAATTAGTGTTATAGCATTTATTTTGAAGATTAACACAATTGTAAAATAAAGTTTCACAAACTTGAATTTCTTTAACATTTAGTTTCAATATTAATCTAATCATTTACAGTATACCAAAATGGTAATATTTTACTTTTTAAAAATAAAAGCACTGAAACCCTTCTTAAAGTAGAATGCTAACGTGGGGCCCCAGAACATGACACAGAAGGCGAGGTTGCTCTAGTCAGAGGCTCTCCTGGTCTCACACTTCCCTAGGTGTTACCTCTTCAGAAACAGCACAGCCTAAGCATTTTGGGAACTAAGGAATGAAACATTAACAATAAACACTAGAACAAGCAATATTATATCAGGGGACATTCGGATGGATGTCAAAGGGGAACAACATTCACAGAGTCCTGCTGCTCCCGCTGGGCTGTGGGGACATAGAGTTGTGCAGAGTAACACTGATTGAAGACAGGGAGGCTGTGGTGGACCCCAATGGGCGACAGAACCATGGAGAAGCATCTGCCTAAGTTCATGTGTGGTTAAGGGTTAACAGGACAAAAAGAAAACCATGAGATATGTGGCCTTTAGTCAGTTGGCTGGGTTTGCTCACCATGGACCTCTTCTTGAGACTCAGTCTATGCAGTTTATTCACTTCATAAACACTCCTACAGAGTTCACAACCCTAATGTAGTGCTTATTGTCAAGAGGCTCGTTCTAAACCCTTTACAACTGTGAATACATTTAATCCTCATTACCAATTTATGAGGTAGGTACTATTTTAGTCTCATTTTACAGAAGAGGAAACAAGTACAGAGAAGTCAAGCAACTTGCCCCAAATCTCAGAGCCTGACAATGTCGATCTGGGAATCAACTCTCTTTCAAGGGAAAAAATGTCACCTGTGAAAAGGTATCATCCATTTTTCCTTAGGAAGAATCTTTTAAGAATTTCTCTTAGGAAATTTGTCCTAGAAAAATTATAGGAACCTGCCTGAGTATAGGAAAAAGCAGCACCAGGAAGAGAGTCTACTTGCTCATCATACAACAAAGATATGATCTCTAAGTTACAATACTTTTTTTTTTTTTTTTTGGTACCAGGGATTGAACTCAGGGGCACTCGACCACTGAGCCACATTCCCAGCCCTATTTTGAATTTTATTTAGAGACAGGGTCCCACTGAGTTGCTTAGGGTCTCACAGTTGCTGAAGCTGGCTTTGAAAACTAGCGATTTTCTTGTCTTAGACTCACAAGCCGCTGGGATTATAGGCATGCACTACCATGCCTGGCTCTACAACATATTTTAATGACAAACAAATATGGAACTGTACACAGATGAATACAGGATTTCTCCCATCTCAGTGAAGGCCCTTAGTAAATTTGATTTTCCCCCCTAGTACTGGGGAGTGAACCCAGGGTCTCTTTCACTGAGCTACATCCCCAGCTCTTTTTAAATTTTATTTTTGAGACAGGGTCTCAAGACATTGCCCAAGTTGGCCTTGAACTTAAAAATCATCCTGCCTCAGTCTCCTAATGAGCTGAAACTGTTCTGAAATGTTTGAGCAAATCATACTGATTAACATTGCATGCCAGTTAGGCTAATGAGGATCAGATTGAAGAGGCACTTTCTTTTCTACCACAGAGAGTAGCATAAAAAAGCAGTAAATAAATAGTAAATTTGTTATAAAAAAGTTATTTCAGATAAGATTTAAGAATAACCATTTATATCCCAACTCATTACTTTATCATATTCTTGAATTCTTTGCTTTATGTGAGAGAGTTTATTCTTGAGGTATTCACAGCGTTCTTTTTTTTCCAGAAATGAAGGATCCTATAAAAGAAACATAGCTATTATTTTAGCATTTGGCTTTCTCAGCAATGAACACAAAAATCCATTATGCCAGAAAATGGTCCTACACAGAATAACTTGCAGAAGATTTTTAAACCTCCCTAATCAGAACAGCAGTTAAGTTCTTACTTAAAAAAAAAAAATAGACTATGTTTAATTAAAGCCACTTCAATTTTATAGCAAAATCAAGTGGAAATTATAAAGAGCTGAGGCAGCTTCAATAATTTGAAGTATAATAAAAAGTAATTAATAAGTATAGGAAAGATTAATAAGGTCTTTCCAGTTTCTAATTGGTTTATTAGATTAAGTAAAGGGTGGACATAAAAAGATATAAAATAATCATTTTGAAGAAAATGTGGGTGGTAAAGAGTTACAGGTCAGTCCCCACTTTCCTAAGCTGTGAAACTGACAGGACAGAATGTATTCAGGCCTGGGATTACAAGAAAACACCTTCTGTAGCACCCACAGTACCTAAAAAGTAGCGTCTTAAGACATATAAAAACAAAATATAGCAAACTCCCCTCTCTCTATTTATGTGTGTATATACATATCTATAATCTCTATATATCTTTATCTCTATAATCTACAATCAGAAAAATTAAAAATTAAACTCTGATAAAGTTTAATTTATAAATTAGATACTAACAACAACTTATAAAACAGAACAACTATAACAACATGCTGTAGTAAAATTGCCACCATCTCTACTCCTGTGCTCTAGGTCATTATTAAGAAATCTTATTAGTTTAATACAAGTATATGGTATCTTGACAATCAATCTGATAACTGGGAAGCTCCTAAGCAACTTGGGTGGTGAGTACAATGTGGATGTGCTGGACAAAGAGATGATTCACAGCCAGGGCAAGCTGGAGAGAGAGTGAGATTTTATCAGGCTACTTGGAATGGTGCACAATTTAAAACTTACTAATTGCTTATTTCTGGCATTTTTCTATTTAATTTTTTGGGAATATGGTTGACTGTGGTTAAAACCATGGATAAGGAAGTACTACTGTACTTTAGCAAAAATAATCTAGTTTGTCAATTACCACCAGTGTATCCAGGTAAAAATACACCCTGAAGAAGACAACTGTTTTACTCACATTCTTTTTTTTCTTAAACTCTTCATGGATTCTTGAAATTCTTTCATGTTCCTAAAAATAATATATTGTATATTTGAGTTAAAACATTTGAATTTACTCAAATCATATCTCAGAACACACTGGAAATTAGAAAACAATTTTTGCCTGAAATTATTATGACAATATTCACAGAGAAAATGTTTGAGGGCTTATTATCTGCCAGAGAGGCACTGGGATTCAGGGATGAACAAGACAGAAAGGGTACTGACTGCATAAAACCAGACCCTACTCCTAGTGCCATCTTCTGCCAGCTGTGTGACCCTGGGCAAGCTGTTTATCCCAAGATTTAGTTTCCTGATTGGAAAAGTAGAAATCATAATTGTAAACAGCTCAAAGGGCTGTGAGAAGGTTCACTTATTTGAAATGATGCTTATGAATAATCACATTAGCTATTATTATCATTTTCATCTTCTTTGGAAAGTTCCTTTTCAAGAAACTGGTGGTGCGATTAAGAGATTGAGACTATTTAACTTTTGAAAATAGCTAATATAAGGTTCCTTCTAACTTTATTCTAAGTTTTATATTTACTATAAATACATGTAGTAAATATAAAATGTGTTATGGGGTTGAATCTTCCCAAAGGATGTCCCCTTTGGGAACACTAAATGCTCAAAAGGCATTACTAGAGCAATGCTTTCATTTTTTTATGCAAAACTATGCATAGAGGTTACCAGACACAACAAATCTAAGGAAAAGTATAATAATTTATAGTCCTAGAATTTCTCTTGAGATAATTTTGAATCACTTACCCATATCCTTTTCCCAGTATATTTTAATTCTTCAATATCTTTTATATTCTGAGACCATGAGTATTGTTTGTGTTTTGATTACTTGCCAGCAGTGAAAATGAACTTGGTAACTCAGTGGTAATGTACAATAATAGGTCCTGGGTCAGGATTAAATTAGCTTCCAGGGTTGGGGAACTGTACTGGAGATGCAGGAAGAGACAAGAATGGTAAAACTCACTGTAACCTGCCACAGACACTGAATTCATGAGCTGGTGAGGACCAGAGGGATTATTTGGAACAATATTCCTACTTTACAGTCTCAGGAAAATCTTGTGATTGTTTTATTTTTAAAGGGTGCACAACCAGGTATGTGAGAGAACCTGTGCTTTTAAATAAGCCCATGGGGTTTTGAAATGCCTCCCAAACTTCCCTATGGACCTGGTGGGAAAATGAATGAGCCTTGCAGACTGTTGCCAAGACAAAGCTCAGCCTGTGGTCTATGAAAAGTTAACTTTTCTGATACAATTAATGAATCTACTTTAGATAAGGTCCAGAGAAGACACAGATTATATCCATGAGCCTGTCAGTTTTATTACTTTCTTGCTATGTCATATTGAAAATGAGGGGTAATGACTATTTTATTAATTATGTAGGCACATCATGGTATGACAGTCTCTCAGCCCCACTCTAACCAGAACCCATGGATCCCCCAACTGTAGTCCTATATGCTGGAACTCTTGGCATTCCTACAAAGTACACATGCTGAGACCACTGGGTTTCTGTTCAAAGGCTACAGTGGTAATCAGGGTTTTCAGGATCATTTCTCTCATTTAGCCTTCTCTTCCCAACTGTGCTGATCCACTATGGTCTGCTTGTTCTTCCTTATATTCCTCTTCTTTGGGTATGAAAGGGAAGGGGTCTTAGCCTGTTGCCCAAGCTGGCCTAGAACTCCTGGCTTAATTGGACCCTCCTGCCTCAGCCTTCTGTATAGTTGGGACTACAGGTTTGTACCACCATTTCCTGCGTTCTGATGGCCTTTAAACTTGGTTACTCTTCTCAGACTTGTGAACCTGACTTGTTTTCCAAATGGTACTAACTGATCCTCGATTTGCTAGATTTCTCCTGCTTCATGGTACTAGTGTCTCAGCACTACTCCATCACTTCAGAACTGGGAAAAGGTCACTACAGTATACATTTGGTTTAGACAGCTTATAATTATGAGTAATTTAAATATATACTTACAAGTCTATAGTCAGAACAAAGATGCCCAATCAACTGGGGTTTCAGGTGAAAATTTTATATGTATATACACATGTATATATTCACAAGCATAAATGCATTTGACATTTAAAAAAATTTTTAATCATACAAAACTGGATGCAATGGCATATACTGTAGTTCCAGCAACTTGGGAAGCAGAGGAAGGAGAATAACAAGTTCAAGGCCAACTTAGGAAGATCCTAAGCAACTTAGTGAGAACCTGTCTCAAAATTTAAAAAGAACCTGGGGATATAGCTCAGTGGTAAAATGTCCCTGGGTTCAATCCTTAATACCATAAAAAAATTTAAGCAATAGACTAGAATATATTTTCTCCATTAAAAAAAACACAAATGTGCTCAGCAGTGTTATTCATAATAGTTAACAAGTGGAAATGACAGACATAATAATATATTGTATCACTGCTTTCTTTTTCTTTTTCTTTTTTTTGTATTGGGGATTGAACTCAGGAACATCTTACCACTGAGCTATATCTTCAGTTTTTTCTCTTTTCATAGTGGGGATTGGACTCAGGGGCACTAGACCACTGAGCCACATCCCCAGTTTTATTTTGTATTTGATTTAGAGACAAGGTCTCACTGAGTTGCTCAGTGCCCCACTTTTGCTAAAGCTGGCTTTGAACTCCATATCCTCCTGTCTCAGCCTCCAGAGCCGCTGGGATTATAGACCTGTGCCACTGTTCCTGGCCTTTTTTTCCTCTTTTTTTTTTTTTTTTTTTAAGCAGGGCCTCGCTAAATTGTCACTGATTATGAGGTATTCTTGAATCAATCAGAGATATAAAAGGTGCACATTGAAATCCTGGTGTCTTTGGAGGCCTGAGGCAATAGGATCACAAGTTCAAGGCTAACCTCAACAATTTAGTAAGATCCTGTCTGGGGATGTGGCTCACTGGTAAAGCACCCCTGGGTTCAATCCCTAGTACCAATCAATCAATCAATCAATCAATCAGAAAGCTTTAGTCTCATTGGCCCTCTGCCATAGTCACAGAGATCACTCTGATAGTGTACCTAGTAGCTCACATCTGTAGCTTCGGATCTGCTCTCTGTGCCCTAAGCCTGGGTTGGAAACCCTTGGTTGGCCTGGCAGGGAAATGCACTACATTGGTGGTTCCTTATACCCTTCCTCCCCTCATCCCAATTTGAGTGTGCCGCCCTTCTTTGCGACTGTGAGTATGTATTTTAGGCACATTTATATTTTACTTATGTAGGCAAATAATTAATAAGTAAATTTAATAAGTAAAGGAAAAGGCATTAACTCATACAATTTGGATGGCAATTTCTCTTTCTTTGGTGCTGGAGATTAAACCCAAGACCATATACAAAGCATGGACTCTTCTATTGAGCTATATACCCTCATTCCCTTGAATGGTAATTTTTTTTTTTTTTAAAGAATCTTCTTCTTTTTTTTTTTTTTAGTTTTCGGCGGACACAACATTCCTATTTGTATGTGGTGCTGAGGATCAAACCCAGGCTGCAAGCATGCCAGGTGAGCACACTACCGCTTGAGCCACATCCCCAGCCCCGAATGGTAATCTTAACTAGTAACTTTTTTTCTTTTTTTGTGGTAGTGGGAATTGAACCCAAGAGCCTCATGTATGCTATATCACTTAGTTATGCCTCCAGTCAGTTTATCATTTTATTTTAAGGCAGTATCTTGCTAAATTCCCCTGGACGACCTTAACTTGCTGTCTGTCCTCCTGCCTCAGTCTTTGAAGTTGCTAGGACAGGTGTACACCACTGCACCCAGCTTAACTAGTTATCCTGAAAATTTAAAATACTTCCCTAGAAGAGAGAGCAGATATAGAGAGTTCCAGATTTTTTTAAAGTTTTTTTTTTTTTTAGTTGTAGATAGACATAATACCTTTATTTTACATATTTATTTTAATGTGGTGTTGAGGATCAAACCTAGTACTTCATACATGCTAGGCAAGCACTCTACCACTGAGCCACAACCCCAGCCCAGAGAGTTCCAGATTTTTTAAATGGTCAGATTTTATTTCTCCTCTAAACTTCAGTGGTCTTCCTAGGCAGTTGCAGACACTGACCTGTCGGTTTTCTGAATGATGTGGCAACCTGCTCATTACTGCATCTAGCTCATCAAATTTCCTCAAGACAGCTTGAACTTCTGCAGATAGCTCTTTGTACTCTGAAAACTGGTCTTGGAACACAGCTTTATAGCGTTCCCGTTCATCATCTGTTTGAATCACAGGGTATTTTCTGAGGAAAAAACAAACCAAAGTTACATCTTTATCACTAAAACAGGATGTAGGGGAAATCAGCTTAGCTTATTCTTCATTGACTATACTGTACCTTCAGTTCAGTATATTATCTCTTGGATACAAACGACTATTCACATCAATGATTTCAAGCAGAGCATTAATGTGGAGACATGTAAAAAAATGAAAGGCCCAAATGAGACTCCTCAATTCTACCCTGAAGAATTCGGGGTAGATACTCACGCCATGTAGTCAGGCATCACAATGGGTTTAGGAATGTGGCCCGCAGGGATGTGTCCACTCAGCAATTCAGGTTTCATTTTTGTTGTTCTCAAGTCTTTGAAATTAACTTCTGGGTCTCTCTGTCTGTCACTGGTGGCCATTTCACACTGCAGGTTGGGAGGAAAACAGGAATGATATATACACAGGAGTAGGAAAGCAAAACCACCTGAATTTATTCTTAGGGGACAATAAGGAAAGGGCAGGAAGACGAAAAGTAGAAATCCTAATTAGCATTTCACTTTAGAATTAAATGTTTCACTTTAGAATTAAATTATGTGGTGCTGAGGATCAAACCAAGTGCTTCACACATGCTAGGCAAGCGCTCTACCACTGAGCCCCAGCCCCAGCCCTAGAATTAAATGTTTTATAGTCACAGGGTGTGCTGACTGTTTTTGTAATAGCTAAGGGGACTCACATTTGGAAAATGGTATATATAATAGGTAAAACATCCTCCAGCTCCAATTACACATTGTATATGTTAATGGTAGATGATAAAATGAGGCATTAGAGGTCTTAAGTACTTACTTATTTAGGATTCATAAAGTAATTATAAAATAATTTTTAAAATAATTCAAAATAAGAAATTCAGCTGGGTGCAGTGGTGTACATCTATAATCCAGAACTCTTGGGAGGCTGAGGCAGAAGGATCATATCTTTGATCAGCAAACTAAGCACTTAGTGAGACCCTGTTTCAAAAATAAAAAATAGAAAGGGCTGGGGACACACAGCTTAGTGGTAAATTGCCCCTGGGTTAAATCCCCAGCATCCCTGGCGGCAAAAAAACTAGCTACTAAGAAGAAGGAATAGAAATGAGTTATACCATTTTTATTATTTTTAGAAGAAAGCAAAGAAACTCTTTCTGATCCTATGTACTTTAAAAAAAATTTTAAAAAATTTCCCAGTACTGGGGATAAAACCCAGGACACTCTACCCTAAGTTATATATCCAACCCTCCCACACTTTTTTTTTTTTTTCATTTTGAGATTAGTTTTTGCTAAATTGCCCAGGCTGGCCTTGAATTTGTAATACTCCTGTCTCAGTCTCCTAAGTCCATGGGAATTCCAGGCATATGCCACCACACCTTGATGATCCTCAGTATTTTTAAATGTAAGGGAGATGTTCCTGGAACCACAGAATAAAGGCAGCCTATGTTTCTAACTTGCCTAAGTGTCCTTAAACTGTGATTCCTGAAAGGGGCTATGAGAGTTCTGGATTCTGGAGATGGTGAAGTAAGTTACCCTTTAGATAACAAAAAAAAAAAAACAACAACAACAACAACAAAAAAAACAACAAACACAAACAAACAACAACAACAAAAATCCCCACCATTTAAGGAAAAAAGAAAGAAAATGCAAGATGAAATGGCCCAGAGAAGTATTAGGGGACAGGTTTTAAAGGCTGATATAGCTAAGAGAAGGGAAATTGGAAGAACCAGCAGAATCCACCCCGAATGTGCAGGCAAAGGAGGATGCTCATCTCTGGGGTTGGGAAAAGGCTATTTAGAGGTTCCATTGGACAAGAAAGGCTGGTGGATGACAGAAGAGAGGTTTCCATTTTATACCTAAAGAGGTGAGGTTAAGAGAGAATTAAGTAAATTCTCCAGGGTTATACATCAATTAAGTAGAAAAGCCATAATTAAAACTCAGAACTAGAGCAGAGTGCTTGCCTAGAATGTGTGAAACACTGGGTTCAATCCTTAGCACCACATAAAAATAAACAAATAAAATAAAGGTATACTGTCCACTTATAAGTACAAAAACAAAACAAAACAAAACAAGTTTAAAAAAAAAAAAAAAGCCCAGAACTATTTGGTTCATTGCTATCCACCCCAACCTTTCTTTTATTTAGGTGGGGTTCTTCTTTTTCTTTTTCTTTCTTTTTGGTACTGGGGATGGAACCCAGGGCTTTCCAAATGCAAGGCCACCAGTTTGCCACTGAGCTACATTCTCATTGCTACTCCCTTTTTTTTTTTTTTTTTTTGCAGTGCTGGAGATCAAACCCAGGGATTCCAGCAAGAGCTAGGGTAGTGCTCTATCACTGAGCCATATTCCTAGCCCATGGTGCATTTAACATAAAAAAATAATAACCTCAAGAAACCTGCTTATTTAAATGTGTAATGTTGACATCCAAAGTTCCAGAAGCACTGGGGAGTTTGAAAGGAACAGAGCAGGCAATGCTCTACCACTAGGGGAAGGTCAGCGCATGCTTGGGATCATGATTTTTCTTTGGTGCAGTTACTTCTTTCCCCCTGTTAACCCCTCAAGCCTTTGAAAAACACTTGCCGAGTTTAGTGGCTGGGGAGGGGCCCTGTTTCAGTGCAAACAAAATATAAAACAGGATTTTGAAACCTTGCTCTCCATCTTGCCAGACAGTTTTTTAAGTCCTTGGTTTTCTGACTTCCCTACTTTAGACTAGCTTTGAGGTTTGGCTTAACATTAGCTCATTTTAAAAACCACCAGCTCTTAACTCACCAAATAGCACACCCCTAGGACTGGATCAGCTTTAGAGGTTGTTAACCAGCCCAAGGGAGATTACAGAAAGGAGAAGCTCCACACCACAGCACTGGGTGGAAAGGAAACCAGATCATCTCAAGGCAGAAAACATGCTAAGCCACTTGGGCCCAAAGCAGCAGAAATGCAAGTGGGTACAGAATGAGGAAACAGCAAGGATATTTTAGGGAACACATGGAGGTTAGTATTCATTCTACTGTATTTTGTGTTAGGGTGCCATTTCTTTTTTCTTCATTTTTTTTTTCTTTTTAAGGGTTCCATTTCTTCATCCTAATGAATTCCTCTGTTTAATCTTGAAAATGAATCATGGTATTAAACATCAAGGGACACTTTTTTGGCTTGAAAAAATTGATTTTCATTTTGTGGCATCTTTCTTTAGCTTAGCTTCTAAACATTTGATGATCTAGTTCTCTGGTGCTGGCTGAGGAAGCAACTATGGAACATGACCCTGGGCATTAATCTCAGATTTCCTGGTCAAAGTCATGAATTCTGCCCAGGTAGTCACAATGGGTAGGAGAAGCCATAATTAATTTGTTTCTAGATTAAAAAAAAAAAAAAGTTAAGCAAGAACTATCATTTACCTTACTTGCCCATCTCTAATTCTCAGATTTACCTTTTAATATGAAAAGAGAGTTTTTAAGAAGTTGAATTTCCAGATAGACTATGTTGTCTGCTTTAATATTTTTTAAAATTTGGTATCTTAACATTTTGTGGTTGTTGTTGTTGTTGTTTCGGGTAAATCTCATTGATCATCAGTGTGGAGAACTCAACTGGAAAGAAATCGAAACATCACACAAAGAATTAAAACCTCTAGGCTTTCATGGGTGGGAAATATTAGACTCCAGCCCTTGGATGGGACACTCTTAAATAGTGCTCCTAATTACAAATATCCAAGGAAGGAGAGAGAAAGGGCCTTCAGCCCCAGTTTTAATGTGACCTTTCTTTGCTTCTAACCAATTTCAGTTTCGTCAGCAAATATCAGAAATGCTTTATTGTGATATAATAGAAAATAATTAAGCAACAGGACAAGTAATGCTATGGATATTATTATTAAGCTTTTCAAATTAAAAAAAAGTTATAAATAGGGAAAGCCAGTGAATTTGTTTTTCTGTGCATTTGTCAGATTTCTAATTCTTTTCCCCTTAGAGGGTATAATGTAACAATATAAAGCCTCCACTCTAAACCCATACCCTCATCCTCAAGGTCCAGATTAGATATTGACTTTTCCATCTTGAAATACCTACTCAGCACTGAGGGTTTACTAGAATTTGCTGCTGTCTCTATTTGATCATATTTTATGTCTGTATATTAATTCATTTCCAAATGACCTTAGCTTTTTAAAAATTATACTTGTTAATGTACAAAATAATAAGGGGTGACCTAGTATATAGTCTAAACTAGGGAAAGAAAACAGAAGTTCAGAGAAGGTAAGTAATTTCCACAGGATTACAGAGTTACTAAGTAGCTGCTCTGACACTATAATTCAGATATCTAATTCTACAGTTCATTTTCTCTTCATCACATGCCACTGCCTCTCCCAGGCTAGTCTTGGATTTTTCCCTGCTGATTTAGGAAGGAAGCAGGTGAAAATCATACCCAATGAAAACTGGAGATACTGTCCTTTCTATCAGGTATCTCATGGGCAAATCCAATAGAGAGTCATCAACTAAATAATGAGATCACTGAGGTCTATCTCTAGAATATACCTAAATCTGTTCATCCATAGAGATCTATCTCCAGGAAAAGACAATGTTAAAAGGATGCTTTTTGGCTTTAGCTCTTATATCTTTTTTTATTTTCCCCAGTACTGGGGATCAAATTCAGGGCTTCGTACTTGCGAGGCCTGTGCTTTCTACCAGTGAGCTATACAGTAGACCTCCTTGTGTTTTTTGTTTGTTTGTTTGTTTTTTGGTATTGGGATTGAACCCAGGGGCACTTAACCACCAAGCCACATCCCTAGCCCTTTTTATTTTTTATTTTGAGACAGGGTCTCACTCAGTTGCTTAGGGCTTCACTAAATTGCTAAGACTGGCTTTGAATTTGCGATTCTCTTACCTCAGCCTCTCAAGCTGCTGGGATTATAGGTGTGCACCACTGTGCCTGGCTCCTCTTTAAAAATTTTATTTTGAGACAGAGTCAAGTTGCCCAGGCTGGCTTCGATTGTAGTTCTCCTGCTGCAGCCTCTAGAGTAGCTGAAATTACAGGCGTGTGCTACCATATCCAGCTTAGTTCCCATATTTTGAAATAGTAGAGGAAGCTAATTGTATTCATATGATTTCCAAAAGACTTGTGGGACTGGAAGTTCTAGCATCTACTAAGGTTATTCCTGACCATTCCAGTACCTCTCAGAATCAGGAGCCCTGTAACACACCTGAACATGCCATATGCCAACCTCCCAGGGCAGCCTGAAAGAGTTCTAGGGTTAGAACTCTCTGACAGAACATCCTAATCCTGTGCCACCTGCATATTCTTTTTTGGGGGGTAGGGAAGTACTGAGGATTGAACTCAGTGGGCTTGACCACTGAGCCACATCCCCAGCCCTATTTTGTATTTGATTTAGAGATAGGGTCTCACTGAGTGCCTCGATTTTGCTGAGG